AACTGACCTGTAGTGCTTTTTTCATTGTGCAATATTTGCAATATTTTTCTTACATCCGATTGTGCAATAATCATTGTGCAATAGACTCACTCAAATGTGGAATCCACTAGTATTCCTATTTATCTCTATTATATATTCTGTATTTATATATGTGTATATATGGTATATTTATGCTTATATCCTTACTCTCATTCCCCTTTATTGTGCCTGTAACATGCAACTTCTGTTGGTGCTGTGCTACTGGAAACTGAATTTCCCGGAGGAACCTACCCGAGGGATTAATAAAGTTTCATCTAATGTAACCTAATAACACTAGTCACTTTTCTCAGAACAGACTCACCAATAAATACAGCATTAATTGATATGATTGATGGCAGAAATATTAATGAAGAGGGCTGTTCTGTTCACAACTGTTTACAAAATTACTACAATATTTAAATACATTTGTTTTCAAGGTGGAATGCAATGTTTCATACTAAAGTATTTATAATCATCATTTCCAAACTTCCCTGGTGATAATTAAAATGTTACTCTAAAACAACACACTGCCACAGGTGAGCACATCTAATCTATAATCACTTTTAAAGCACATATGAATTGGCATTAGAGATGGGGTTATAGCTATAATACAGCTATTGCACACATATTTTCTCCTGAGAGATTTTTTTTCTAGTGCCCAAAAGTTTCCTCAAAGTTGGCAAGTTGTTTTATTTGGTCACTCTGCATTGAGTGACGTCTCCACAACATTTTCTTAGCTTTCAGATCCTTGGGGAAAACAGGTGCACAGGGTAGAACAGGATTTGAGCCTATAAGAACATCATTCAGTGTCTTGGTACTTCCACTTAAAGGGCAGGAAGTTTTAGAGCTAACCCCAATATCTGGTATGGGAATATGAGGATTCAAACGAGGCAGGTATCCGGGGCGTGTGTGGGCAATGTGATCCAGAAGAAGAGCTCCTGAGCCTCTTCGCTCCAGCCCTGTAGTGGCTCGCCTCTGGGCCGAGCTCTCCAAGGACTCCCTGGATCCCGACAGATTGGAGACCAGCTTGTGTCTTTCCGCTGCCAATCCAGCATCACCACTGCTCTTTGAGGTTCTGTCTCTGCTGCTGAATTGCTGCAACTGAGAGTCAGAACTGTAGTGGGCAATACCAATGTTCTGCCGACGCACCACATTTTGCAGACTGGAAACATTCAGCTGTGTAAGACAGTCAGATGAATCTTCTTCTGCAGGTCTGGATTCATGGGAAAAGGCAAGACTATCTTGAAGCAAGTTTGGGTGTGAAACAGAATATAATGAACTTGCAGCACTGTCATATGACATCTTTCTGCCAAAGCCTTTTTTTCCACCACCTCCCCTGTTGTCATTTCCTGATAAGATCTCTAATGCTTTCACAAGTCCTTTTGCATCTTTGACATCAATGCTCTGGTGCCGTGAAATAGCAGGAGGATGTTCTTCGACTCTGAAAGACAGCACCTCCTCCGGAGTAATTTTCACTGGTTGCTCAGTCAGAGAGGACGCCTGACTCTGCTGGAGCAACAGGGAAGGACTTTTGGACCAGGCTTCTGAGTGTAGCTGATGGAAGTTAGGTCGCTTATCCACATCGGGAACACGTAGAGGACTTCGATGTTGCATTGGTGAACCTGGTTGAAATCTGATCAGGCCATGCCCTAAGCCTAAACACTGGGGATCCTTGAGGC